GACCCTGTGCCCAGCTGTGTTTCAGGACAGCAGGACAAGGAGCTGTCTTACAGAAAACACCGTCCCAGGCCCCAACAGGGACTCACTATCCATACCGGACTGAAACCCTGGAGGGCCAAGGGCAGCCAGAGAGAGCAGGCCAGGAGGCCCCGGGGGGCAGAGGTGGCCTGGGAGGGGGACACGGGCCCAGCGCCCAGCAGCAGGAAGCCACATCCTGCCAGCCAGGGTCTACAGAGGCCTCAGAGGCCTGCAGCAGGTGGGCCGGGGAGGCCATGCGTGTGTCCCCAGCGGGGACGGTGGGGAGGGCTGTTCAGCACTGCCTCTCCCCTCGAACAAACCCCCCGCCCCGGTCCCTAGTGGGGAAAAACAAGCCCGGCATTTGGCCCAGGGCTGCAGGAGCTGGTGCTCCGTCCCACGCGTCCCCTCTCCCTGGAGACCTCGCCGCCAGGCCTGTGTTGGCTGTGTGGGGACAGAGCTGTGACAGCAGCCTGAGACCGGGGTCTTCCTGAGTGGCGCTTTCGTCCAGAGCGTTTGAGGGAGGACGGGCAGGGGTGAGCCGTGCGGCTGGGCTGTCCCCAGTGTGGCCGCTGTGGCCTGCGGGAAGGAAGCGCTTTGCTCTCCCTGCCTGTCTGGCGGCACCACCAGGATCCACGGCCCGCAGTGCTGACCTGGCACAGACTGCTCCCGGGTGTAGACAGCGCGCAGAGTTCTTGTCCTTCCTGGTTTCTGTTTGTTTTGCTTTTGATTTAAAAAGGTTTCTGCGGGGAGGCCTCTCGGCCAGAGAGGCCCCGTGGGGAGCAGTTTTAAAAGCCACCGCCTGCCATGCCAGCATCCCATATGGGAGCCGGCTGGAGTCCCGGCTGCTCCGCTGCCGATCCAGGTCCCTGCTGATGGCCTGGGAGAGCAGCGGAGGGTGCCCAAGTGCTTGGGCCCTGCACCCCGTGGGAGACCCAGAGGAAGCTCCTGGCTTCAGATCAGCGCAGCTCCGGCCTTTGTGGTCATCTGGGGAGTGAACCAGCGGATGGAAGCTCTCTCTGTCTCTCTCTCTCTCTGTAACTCTGATTTTCAAAGTAAAGTAGTAAATCAGACTGGGCCGGGTTCCGACGGGAGCTTTTCCTCAGCCTGGCTGTGCGGCCTGGCCCTCGCCTGCCTGGCTCAGCGAGCTCCCCGAGAAGCAGGGATGATGAGGCTTGGGTTGTGGATGGCACCGGATGAGTCGTGAAGGCCTCCCGAGCAGTGCCGGGGACTGCTGGTGCGCGTCAGAGTGACAGCAAGGCGACAAGCCGATGGCAAGAGTGACACGGGGGACGCTGTGTCTCCTCTGTGCCGTGTGACCTGGGGGCGGGGTGGGGGTCTGGGGTGATGGAGGCGTTGCTGTCTTTAGCAGGGTCGTCTCGGGAGCAGATGTTGTCACGCACAGGTGCGCCAGGCTTCCTGGGCCAGCCTGCAGGCGGTCGCTCGGCTGCGCACAGCTGCTCGGGCGCCGTGTCCTCATGGCCTCGTGTGGCCTGTGGGACGGTGAGGCCGCAGACCTCGACCCGCCGGGGTGAGCCCTAGGAAGGCTGGCTGGCGTCACCCGGGGACCTGCTGGGCTTAGATTTCTCCCCCAGCTGCAGCAGGCAACTGTGTGTCCCAGGGAGCCGGGTGGGGTGGCAGGTGGCCGGACAGTCCCCATGCCGGGGCGTCCCGACTTGAGCTTCCTGGGGGACGGCAGCCACCCCCAGCCCCCACCGGGGAGCCCAGGCCCCTGTTCCGGACCTGCAGCCTGGCCTGACCCGCTGGCCCAGGGGTGCAGGCCTGGCCGGACAGCAGGAGGGAGGCCAGCTCCCGGCGACAGCAGCCACGGGGCTGAGTTTCCGGTGGCCGTTGGAACGAATGACGGCAAAGCCTCCGGGATGTCTTCTGTCGCGGTGCTGGAAGCCCGGAGCCTGGCATCCATGCAGGGGGACCACCCCGCAGCCCTGGGGCGCTGACCCGCCCGTGGGCTCTCCCTGCGAGTGTGGCCGGGCTCAGGGGCACACCGCCACGCAGCCGCTTCCCTGGGCGCCCGGTAAGACCCCCTGACTGGGGCGGCACACACACACACACACACACACACACACACTGTGGGGTGCGCCCTGGAGCTCCAAGGGTACAGGAAAGCAAGAGTGAAGCCAGCACCGGGGGTCGCGGCCTGGGCCCGCAGGCTCCAGTGGGCTGTGGCGGCAGAGGGCCCCTTTCTCTTCCGACCCCGGCGGACTCACGGGCAGGCTTGGGACGCCCTTGGGAAGGCCTGGTCACCGGTGGAGCCCGAGGGAGGCAGGAACTGGGTGTGTCTGCTCCCTGTGTGCCCTCGGGCAAGTGACCTCACCTCTCTGGGCTCAACATCCTCCCGTGGTCCCAAGGGGCGATGGTCATCGTGGTGTCTGGCCCTGGGGGGTGGGGGCCAGCTGCAGATAAGGCACGTAGGCTGGATCCGGGCCGCCCGTGGGGCTGCCATTAGCGTCATTATCGCCATTACAGGGAGCCCTGCCGGCACCTGCACAGCGCACAGGCTCATGCCCTTGGAATGCAGGCCGATCTGCTCCACGGCCCACTGCTGACACAGGCTGCTCCAGGGCTGGCGGTGGGCGGCGACTCCCCCCGGGGTGCCCGAGCCACTGCCACGGCTGCCTCACAGTCCCGAGTGTGGGTTCCGACCTCAGCTCTGCTGTGTGTCCTGGGGCAAGGTGCTCACCCTCTCTGTGCCCCATCTGAAAAACCGGAAGTCCACACGGTGACCTTCAGCATTCGGGTGAAGAGTGCTTAGCACAGCAGCTGGCGCAGGCCGGGTGTTCGGGGAGTCTCGGCGCTGTTACCCAAGCAGGGACCAGACGCGGCCTGGGCAGCGCGGGTCTCAGGGCCACTCGGCCACCCTGTAGCTCCCTTTCCTGGGACCCTCCCAGAGGGCGAGGCTGTGGCCTGGCCCCGGTGGGTGCAGCCGGCCACCCAGGAACCCACCCAGTGCACCTAGACCCGGGCTGCGGCCTCCGTGGCTCAGCCTGTGCCGGGAGTCCATCCGTATCTCTTCTGGCCAGACTGGGGGCCCCTCCCTTCTGAAGTGGGGGTGGGAGGGGCCTGAGCCACCTCTGGGAAGCAGCCGGGCCCATAGCTTTCCTCTCCTGGGAGACGGGCGCTGTTGGTTGCTTTTCTTGCTTTGCACTTGACCCAGACCCTGGCCTCTGGCCGTCCACCCTTCCCTGACCTGGGTTGGGTTGGCTCCAAGCTGGGCTGGGACTCTGGGAGGTGAGGGCCAGTGTGCCGGGTGGGGGGGTGTCCCCAAACCTTTTGGAAGCCTTCTGGGTGGTCCAGCCTGGCCATCGGCCTCTCCCAGAGGTGAGCAGAGCGCGAGGGTGAGGCTGCCACCGCTGGCCCCCTGGGAGAGAGAGTGTGGAGGGGACGGGATCCCTCTGGGTGACTTCCCCGGTGAGCACCTGGCTGGGGGCTGGTCCAGGTGTGGCCTGCGCTCTAGGCTCGCTGAGCCCCCCTCCGGCGTCCAGGCCCTAGGCAGCCCAAAAGGAGGGGTGGCTGCTCCAGGAATGAATGGCCGTAGTGATGGCTTCCAAGCCGCAGCCGAGCCGGCAGGGCGGCGGGAAAGGTCCACCCTGCTGCCCGCTCAGCCACATTATGGCAGACAACCGGGCCATTCAGTCACAGGCCAGCTGGGGAGCTGGCAGGGTGGGGGCTGCTTCGGCATCGGGTGAGCAGCTGTGGTGTAGGGGCCTTCCTGTCCCCCGTCACCAGGAAGTGGCATCGCCCACTGGAGGCTGGAGACCCAGGGCGGGTGTGGCTATGCCTCCTTCCCCAGGGTGTGGCTAAAAGCAATTAGGGCTTGGCCTGTGCATTCTGAGATAATTCGTTGCAGGCATCAGATCCTGGCTGGGGAGAGTTGTTTGTCTCGATAGGGAAACGCTGATAAGCAGCAGCTGTCCCCCCTCACAGCGTGGGGGCCGGGCCGGGCCCTGTCGGGGTCTCAGCCTGGCCTCTGCACCCTCCACTTCAGTTTCACTGGGGACCCCAGGGGGGTGACCAGGTGGTCTTGCTGGCTGGAGGCCCGTCTCCCGCGCGCCCCCAGCTTGGAGCCAGGTGGCTCCCAGAAGGGGCAGGCTCCCTCCGGCCAGGGCTTCCCCACTTTAGCAGGGGGAGGGGCCCCCCTGGCAGATTGGGGGAGGCCCTGCCTGCGTACCCTGCCTGTGATTGGCCCATAATTACAGGTTTATTGCCTGTACAGCTATTGTGTAATGACATGTTTGCAAATTAATTTTTATGGCTCCTGCCATTAGCATATACAGTAGAGGAAGGTTTAGTATTAATTACTACTGTTGTTCGTGTAATCCCGGAGAATTAAAAACCAATAAAAGGATGACAACAGAAACTGATAGTTTAGGGTCTTTTAAAAATAGTTTTCAACCCCCCCTCCTCAAGTACGGTCAGAGACTTTCCACGGGGGTGAGGGGCGAGGGGGGGCGGGCGGCAGCTCCCTCGGCCGTCTGCTGCCGCGCGGGGCCCCCCACTCCTACGGGGGCGCAGCCCGTGCCGCGCGCCGGCCGCAGCCCGGCGGGGGCGGGGGCCGGGCGACCGCCTCCCTCGCAGCGCGGCGAGCAGCGGGCGCAGGGGGAGGCGCGAGGAGCGCCGCCCCCGCAGCCCCGGAAACAAAGGGCCGCCGCCGCCGAGGGCCGGGCGCGACCTCCGGGGTCAGAGCGGGGCGGAGCGGCCAGCTGCGGGCGCGCGCGCGGGCGGCGGGCGTCCTCCGGGTGGGCAGCCCCGGCGCCGTCCCGGGCGCCCGCGCGCGCCCTCGGCCGCCCGCGGGGAGGGGCGCCGCAGGGGCGGGGAGGGATTAAAGGCTGCCTCTCGCACCCCCGGCGGCCGGGCCCCAGAAGGCAGCCGCCTGCGCGCAGCACCCAGCAGGCGGTAGGCGGCGGCGGGGCGGAGTGCCACCTCCCTCGCCCCGCCCCGCGCATTTCAGATGCTCCTGGCGGGGTGGGCTGGGGCGGGCGGGGGGCACCCCCCCACACACAGCCCGGCGCGCGCGCACCTCCACCAGCTCGCCCTCCACGGCTTTCCTGGAGGGTGTGACACCACCCCTCCCCCGAGTTCAGCCGCCTCTTGAAGTCGCCGCTTGCAGCAGGGACCCCGGGGCAGCCGCTGGGGTCCCCCGGTTGACGCGGGGGCCGGCGAGCGTGGCCAGGAACCCGAGCCTGGCGGGACCGCGGCGCCCCGCCGTGCGTCCCTGCGGGCGCAGGCCTCTTCCCGCATCCCACGATTGTGTCCGGGGCCAGAGGTGACCCCTTTAGCGTCACCGCGTTGTGCCACCCAGGGGGCACCTGTGGAGGCGGAAGGGCTGGAAAACACCGGGGCTGCACCAAGAGGCAGCTCTGTAGCGCGCTTTTAGGAGCGCGCGTGGGGAAATGGGTCCTGTCTCTTTAAAATCGCTGGGCTGGACAATGCGCGCACAGGATGTGGTTTGGCGGCAGGGTTTTTTCCCCTTCGATTTGGGGAATTATCACGTGGGGCCTGCCAGAGAGGGTGCGAAGGAGAGGCGGCGTGGGGAGCCGGGCGCTCGTGCGCCCCGCGCGGGGGCCTGTCTCGCAGAGCCGCAGCAGCCGCGCGCACTGGGGCCGTGTGCCTGCGAGCACGCCTCCCCGGAGCTGCTAACGCCGCCGCGGCGCGGGCAGTGTGCGAGACGGTAGCAAGCACTCGGTTACACTTGCAACAGGGATTTTCAGCGGGTGGGGTGAGCGGGGAGAGGCCAAGGCGGAAGCGAACCGCTGGCCCGGGGCGGCCGGCGCGTGCGTCTCCGCGGCCCCGCGCGGGAGCCACCGGAGGCGGCCCCCGGGGCGGGGGGGGACGGCCTGGGGAGCCTCCCCGCCCCCCACACCCCCGGCCGGGCGGAGGGCGAGCCCCCGGCTCCCGCAGCTGTCAGACGTGGGTGGGGAGGGCGGCCGGGCCGGCAGCCAGAGCGCGGAGTTGGGCAGCCGGAGGGGGAGCCGGCGGCGCCCGCGGCCGCCCACTGTTTGCCCGCGGCCCCCGGGCTCCGGGGGCGAGGGGAGCGCCCCGCGGCCGGCGCAGCGCCCTCCCGGGCCCCGAGCGGCCGCGCGCAGGGGGAGCTCGCAAGTGAAACTGTCACCGCCGCCCTGCGGAGCGCGGAGCCCCGGGAAGCCGCCGCGTGGAGACGGAAGGAGCCGCCGCCGCCGCGCCGCTGCCCTTTCGCTTTCATTAGGGGAGACAAATCCGCTGTCAGGCAGCCAGCTTTCCAATTTACCGATAATGATTCTTGCATGAAAATTGATCGAGGGGCCCGCCGCCGCGCGCGCACGCCTGGCCCGCGAGCGCTGCGCCCTCCGCCCGCGCCCGCTCCCTCCGAGTCGGCGGTCGGACGAGAACCGGGGGGCCTGGGGCGGCGAGGGGGAGGGGAGCCGGCGCCCCGCGCCCCGCCGCCTCCGGCCGCGGGCTCCGGCGCTGCCGAGGGGGCCGCGCCCCCTCCTACTTGGCGGCTGTTTGGGTATTAATTTTCCCCGCGCCCCCTCCCGCTCGCCCCCTCCTCCTCCCCCACCCCGCCCCTCCGCTCCCAGTAGCTAAGGGGAAACGAAAACAAAGCCGGTTTCTCCTTGGCAACCGGAGATACCCCTCGCCCCCTCCCTCCTCCCCCGGGCTCGGCACGGGAAGCCCCGTGGGGAACAGGTCTCTTGACCCTCGCCCTTGACGTTCGGATGGCCGCGCGGAGCACGGGCCGCCGCTCGCGCGCCCCGGGGGCCGCCGCGCCCCCTCCCCGCCCGCGCCCGCGAGCTTCCCCGGCGAGGCGCCCCTGAGCCCGCCGCCCGCGGTCTCGCCGCCCTCGCCGCCCCCGGCTCCCGCTCGCCCCGCCGCGCTCTCCCGCCCGCTCCCCCGCCCGCTTTATTTGCATCTCAAGTCCAAAAGGGAGAAAAGACGCACGCGGCGGAGACACCGGCGGCCGCGGCGGCTCCGGCCCGTCGTGGTCGTCCGTGCCCTCACTGCGGACCTGCCGGGCCGAGGCGGCCGCAGCTGCCCGCGCGCGCTGGCCGGAGGCTGAGCCCTCGGGTCGCCGCGGGGCGGGGGGGCAGGAAGACTTGATTTTATTTTTTCCGGCGCGCGAGGGATCGCTCTTCTGCCTCGATTTTATTGTTTTGGACATTTGGAGCGCCGTGGCTCGGACGGCGATTTCTGTTTCACGCCTCGGCTTGCCTATATTTATTTTTATTTTTCCTCCTTCGTCCCTCTCTGGTCACTATGGAATTCTAGCCTGAACCATGTTTGGGTTGAAGCCGCCTCTGTATTACTTACCAGGTAAGCGAGCTGCGCGCCTCCCCGGGTCCCGCGCGGCGCCTGTGTGCCGGCCCCCCCCCCCCCACTTCCCCCCAGCCCGGGGGGTCGGGGCGGCGTTGGGGGGGGGTCCGCGCGGCCCCGGCTGCTCCCGCCGCGCTCGGGCCCGCGGCGAGCGGCGGGGAGCGCCCACCCGGCCCGCCGCCCCCGCCGCGCCGCCGCCGCCGCCGGGGTCTGCGCGTCTCGCTCCTTTTGTCTGCCCGGAGCCGGCTCCTCGCGGCGGCGCTTACGCCCGGCGGGGTGGATTACGCGCCGGGTGCGAAGTTACTTTCCCGCAGGCCGCCGCAGCGCCCGGCGGCCCGCACCCCCCCCCCCCCCGGCTCTGGTCCCTGCGGCCGGCCCCCGCGCCCCTCCCTGCCCGGGATTCCCTGGAAGGTTTTGTTCTGCCGAGGTCGGCGGAGGGGGCCGGGGACGCTCGGGGGGCGGGCGGCGTGGTTTCCTGTTGCCCTAACCTCCGTGCGCGCTGACGGCGGGCTGCCTTCAACTTTCTGTTTCGGGGCGAGGCGCGCCGGCGGCCCGGGGCGCGGGGCAGGGGGCGGCCGCAGGCTGGGCGAGCCCCTCCGGAGGTCACCCTGTGCGCAGGTCGCGGCCCCGCGGGCGGCCCCGGGGAGGCTGGCGAGCCGGGGAGCCGCGGGGAGGGGCCCGCGAGCTGGCGGCGAGCCCCGGGCCGCCCCCGCGCGCCCTGCCCCCTCCCCCGCCGTGCCCCCCGGGGTCGGGCCGTGACTGCGGGCCCGCCCCAGGTGGGCCACGTGAGCGCCGCTCGGGCAGGCTGCTCTGCGTGTGGCCGCTTGTTCTGGGAATGCGGTGTGTTTTTATCTTGGCTGCCTTGCTCTGAGTTTGCCTGCCTTGGGCTGTGACGCGCGGTTGCTGCTGAAGTTGGGGTCCTCGGGCTGGGGCGACACCGGGGTGCCGTGGGGGGGGGAAAGGCGACGGCCCTGGGTCTGCCCTGGGCGGTGTCGTCGGCCTGGGAAAGGTGCGGCCGGCCAGGTGTGGGGGTTGGGCTTGTCTGGTCCCTGGGAGGGGGCTTCCTGATGGCGGGCAGATGTGCCCCCGAGTTCTCAGAGCCGAACGGAGGGGCCAGAGGGACCTCCCGACACTGGGCGTTTCTGAAATCCGCACTGAACCGCAACTGGCTGATCCGTGCCCAGCCATCCCCCAGAAGCCACCAGGTCAGTCAGTGGTCAGTGGTGGGGGTCTCCACCGTTTTGCTAGAAATCAGCGTATTTGCGAGAGTTCCTTTTCATTCTTGCTCTCTGTGTCTCTGTCCACCCAAAACACGGGTCGGCAACGTGAAACTTGGCTGTCTGTCCCTTGGTCTGGGCGTCCCCTCGCAGGTCCGATCCAGATCAGAACCGGGACTCCCCAGCGTACACGAGGGCTGGGTTCCACCAGGGCCGAGTCCTGGGGCTCCCGGAACTGTGGGGTCCCCCCTCCGCCGGGTGGGGGGAGAGCGGTACCTGAGCCTGTCACTCAGGACCTCCACTCGCTGGGTCTCCTCTGGGTCCCCACGGCCCCTGCCCCAGCCCTGCGCCCGCCTGGGAGAGCGAGGGCTAGGAGCGTCTTGGGGCACAGGTGCTGGTAGGGCGCACCGCACCTCACCTGCCGTTGGGCGGCTGCTGGCACAGCTGTGTTCGTCAGGTGACCCAGTTCTGTTGACGCGGGAGCCTCAGAGGGAGGCGGCGGCTCAGGCTAGGACAGCGGGGGGGGGGGGGGGGGGGAGCAGACTGCCTGTGCTGACCCTGGCCCAGCAGTGGCGGTTTGCCCCCACCCCGCCGTCGCTGTGGCGTGTCCTTGCAGGGTGTTAAACTGGTGTCAGCCGGGTCCTCGGGCGCAGGTGCCACTGCTCCCTGGGCGGGGGCCAGGGAGACAGTTGCTGGCTCCTTCCCGTGTCACCCGGGAGCTCGGTGAGGCCCAGAGGGGCCTGTGGCTTGCTCAGTTTGGAAGTGGGGGGACGGAGACGCGGATGTGTGGTTGGCTGCTGTCTGCCACGCGGGACCCACACCAGGGGCCGCAGGTGCCGGGTGAAAGGCACCCTGTGGAGGGAGGCGGACAGCACGGCCAGCTCCCCCCAGCCTCCAGGTCTGGGCCTGTTGGCGAAGCCGGATCCCGTCTCGTGGGCCAGGGTCCAGGGCCATCCGCCTGGGGGCCTGGGGGCAGCTCAGAGGGAGGCTGGCACCAGGCACCAGCTCTTCCTGTTTGGCCGGTGCAAGGCGCGGGCTCAGGAGCTCTGCCTTGGACAGGAGGCTGGAGCGCTTGGTAAAGCCTCAGTTTCCCCGTATGTGAAAGGCTTCTGTGCTCCCGTCTCCCTGGCGAGGCTAGGGCAGGCCTTGGCCCTTTGTGAATAAAGTTTTATTGGTACGCAGCCACGCACACCCATTGTCCTGTGTTGTCTCTGGCAGCTGTCATGGAGGCCGGGTGGGCTGGCCAAGCCTAAGATGCCCGCTCACTGCCTGGCCTCTTCCAGGGACTGGGGGCCCACCTCTGGTCCCAGGGATTAAATGTGTAAGTCCCCTGGGCAGCGGGACGGTGTTCATGCGTAACAGGTGGGAGCTATAGTGGTTTCGTTACACTCGCTGTTGGTGCTGAAGTGGACTGATGTGGCCTCGTGGTGAAAGCCGTGCGCGTGCCCCGTGTCACAGCGCCTGGGTTCATGCCTGACCCTGGCCCCGATGCCAGCTTCCTGCAGGAACAGGCTGTGCGGCGCAGAGGTGATGGCCCAGGGACTTGGGTTCCTGCCACCCGTGTGGGAGACCAGGGTTGAGTGCCTGGCTCTCCACTCTGGCCCAGCCCTGGTCGCTGCAGAGACCTGAGGAGTGAATCAGCTCTGTGTGTCTCCTCCCTGTCTCCCTCTCAGATAAATAAATAACAATTGTAACAATGAGCGGGGCTTCGTGGTGGGCGAGTGGTGGCCTTCCCCTTGGTGCTCCTTCACTGCCCGGGGGAGGGGTGCAGACTGGGCGCTGCGGAGAGAGGGGGGGACTGGGGTGGGAGGACTGGGGGCACCGCCCTGCTCCTGGGGCGATGGGGAGCTGGGGGTCCCCTTCCCAGACTCTGTGGGTGCACCTGCTCCCGTTACTCCCCTGCTGCGCTTCCCCAGGCTTGGAGCTGCACGTGGGCGGGCACCATTCAGAAGGTAGCCCTTTGAGAAAGAAGAGGTACGGCCGCTCTCCGGCCTCGACCTGAGTTCTGCAGCTCACCTGACAGCTCTTGGACGGACGGTCCCCGGAGGCTGAGGTCACAGGCGCAGGGAGAGGGCGGCCGGGCACTGACCCTGGGCGGTCTGGCTCTGGCGTCCTTGCTTAATAAATATTTGCTGAGCGCTGGGGTGGGGGGAGGGCCTCGGTGCTGGCCGTGGCGCCCTCCTGGCCCCTTATCTTGTTTCTGGCATTTGCGGAGGGAAGGACTCGGCCGTCAGTGGACCCCACCCTGGGCCACACTGAACTCCTGCTGACCCCAGCCTCCCCTTAGGACTCCCTGTCCACTTCCAGGAAGGACCACCAGGCCCTCCAGCGAGGAGACTGGAGTGTAGAGGTGGCCGTGGCGGCTGCCAGTGGCTGCCCCTGGAGCTTGTCCCTGCACAGCTGCCCCCACAGGCCCTGGGAGCTGTCAACAGCTTGTCAGACCCGGCCTGGCCCCTCTCTGAACAGCCTCAGATGGACGAGCAGGAGATGGGGCACCGTGGAGGGAGATCTGGGCCCAGGTGGCCTGTGCAGAGCCCCCCCCCAGTCCCAGTGGGAGGTGGGGGCGGGGCTCTGCCTGGCCCACCTGGCCTGGGGGAGGCCTGGCGAGGTGAGGCCGGGACAGGGCCCTGACCTGCAGCCGCCTGCTCCC